TTGATGTATTGGTAGTGTGCCAACGGGTCTTCAGTTCGGTTATACTCCGCAGCGTAAAACCGGCTCATCGCCTTCGCGCGGTCACCCTCCTTTGAAAATTCTGCCACCAATGCAGACTTTAAATTCTCATAATTTAGGGCTCGGTTGCTTTCCAAATTCAAGTCGTAAGCGGCCCTCGCTCGTCCCGTGAGCAGTGACCCCAATGCGGTGGCCATGTGCGCACTCCCTTTGATGCCGTTGCACGATGCGATTAATTCAAAATCGCGACTACATTTCTCCACATCTACGTCTGCAAACACGTTTGGCCAGGAGAGCTTCATTGCGTTGTGCTGACTTGGGCAACGGCACCACTGTAAAGAGACGGCGAGCTAGCTAGGAAAACGTCTAATCATCCAATTTGAAAACAAACAGTGTATGCGTTCGATTATATACAGTCAATTATGCCTCTTTCTGTGGATCATTCGTTGTTGGTCTTGGTTCGCGCTTGGCACGTACGGTGCCTCTTCTTCCGCATGCCATTCCGACTGGTTTGACCCGATCGCGGCACGAGATGCGTTGATCGACAGCTCCGACGTTGTGGCATTCGGTGGTTATCTTTCCCGTTAGCTGCGGATTGTCTTTCGGGCTGTGATTGTCGATTCACTCGTTTCGGGTGGCAGTCAACATTGTCTCGCGGGGCACTTCCCGCCGCTGCGTCTGCGCGTCTGGTCGGATGGGCCCCATTCTTGCTTCGGTCGCTAGCCAGGATCCTCTTTGAACTGCCTTCCATCACAATATGTAGGTGGTGTTCACCAAGACCCTATCCGGCTATCAAGCCTTCTGAGTCTATCTGCATCACGGTAGCATCTCTGATCCTGTCAAGTTGCAAGTGCAGGACGCATTAGCTGCAGTCCACCCAGGGCCAATCCTAACTCACTTTGGGAGGGTGATGGTGGTTGGATTGTTGCCCCTCTGTTCCTTTATCTACCAGACCGAGCTGCAATTGGTCGAAACAGGTGCGTGCCTTTTTTATTCCATTTGAACCTCTACCCACCGTTTATTGTTTATTCTCTCTCCTCTCGCTCTCTCTTTCAGGTCCGCAGTGGGCACAGGGTCGTTGCTTACTCGGAGAAGCGGATGCCTCGGTGAGTCCTAATTGGGTTTGTTGTCCCCTCATTCACTCACTACAGGTCTTCTACCACTCACCTATCGAGATCTGGGGGAGAGGATTACACACTTCAGTAGGTTGGGATTCGTTTTGAGTTACGAACGCATCAGTTTCCTGCCTCCGTTATTGCTCATAGACATGCTAAAATGAGGTATACATGGGGCTTTCTGTCCTCACCTGTCTCCTTTGGACTTCGAAAGCAGCTTAGGCTACTTACGGAGGAAAGTACTTTATGGCGAGATACGTTTTTTTTCTGCTCAGGGTCATCAACCTAGGGTATCCTACGGGGAATTAAGTATGTGATCCTAGGTTGCTAGTCATATGCATCTTCGGGGAATGTACCCGACCATGCCTCATCAAAATGGTGCTTAAACACCCCAAAGCTACGAGAAGCAGCCACTTGCTGTGGTAACCGGTTCCATTAATCAATCGATGCGAAAAGAACTGGGCTCTAATACTCCTCTTTGACCTGGGCTTTTCCAATTTGCATCCGTTGTCCCTAGAGTTGGTTTTGTGGCATAAATGCAGCAACGGTGTTTCCATTACCGATGCGCCAGTCGGCTGCTTGAAGGCCTCTATGAGGTCTAGAGTCTTGAAGTATTTAAGTAGTACTCGGGTTCGAGGCTTGCGCCCAATATTCCCGGTTAACCTCGCATTTTCCTATTATTCAAGAAGAACAACTTTAACCTCCTAAGGCACTCGCTGTATGCAACGACACTCATGTTTTCTATGACTCTCGTGAACCTTCTTTGTACCGCTTCTAGGATCTTGACGTCTTCACGAAATAAGGCGCCCGGGTCTGAACACAGTACTCTAGATGTGGCCTCACCAGGGCCCTGTACAGTGGAACCATCACCTTTTTCTCTCGAGAGGCTACAGCCCTCAGGAAATGATGAAGTGCCCTATNCCCTATTACCTTTGGTTGCAGCTGCCAGACACTGAGGCGTTGGTTTCAAGGTTTGTCTATGACAATACCTAAGTCCCCAATATCTTCGCTCCTCGTTAGATTTAGATGACTTTCCATGGTCGCACTTCGCTCATCGCTATTTCTACTGACTGACATCAACTGTTGCCACTTGCTTAGGTTCAGCGGGAATTCCCATTAGACTATCCATTCCTGGATCTTGTTCAGATCCTCTTATAATTGTGGCACATCTGGCCGGCCTACGATTTTAACGTCGTCGGTAAACAAGCAGAGCGGCGAGTGCTGACCAAGGGCATATCGTTGATTAAAAGCATAGGACCAGGCACAGGACCTTGGGGAACCCCGCTGCAAGCTTTGTACTAGGCACCTATGGCCCCTTTTTCTTTTTAATCGCCTCCACGCTTACTTTTTTATTTGCTGTGCCTTGGTGGCCCGGCTCGTTCAACAGGCAAGCCTTCCCTTTTTCTTATTAGCACTGTGTGGTGCAACTTCCTCAGTGAGCCGCTCGAGCTTCTCTTTGAAGAGCTGGTAACCCTCCTGAACGCTCCCGTACGGTACGTTGCATTTCAGTCTTCCAGCCGCCTCGAGCTTACGCGGTTTAGTGATTTTATTACGAGCCCTTGTCAGCTTCGGTGGGGGGACATCTATCGCATCTGGGATGGTGAAACGCAACACTCCATGGTCACTCCGCCCAAGTGTTGCTATGATTCTCAAACACTCGACCTCGCCGGAATGTTTCGTGATCACCAAGTCCAGAAGCTCAAGGTAATTACCTACCCGCCACCTCGTTGGACTTGTGACATGCTGAACGAGAGCAAAGTCTAACATGAACTTCACTACATCGCCCCCAAATGTGTTGGGCGGAGCAATCAGTTCTTCCCACATTGCCTCAGGGGCGTTGGAGTCTCCAACAATTACCACAGTTCCGTTCTTCTCTGCTACAGTCTTTAGGAATGACATCAGCTGGCGATCTTCGTCCTGACTTGATTGTGGGCTCCCATTTATCTCTTCCTGGTGCTTTGATGCAACACAAAGTGGCATCACTAACTGCCCCCCCCCGGTCAATTGCTTATGACCGTTGGCTACCAGCACCATTACTCTTGCGCGAATCCGCCCGTCACTTCGATCTGCCCTGTAGATGAGGTATCCTGGTGGTGCCGGCGTTTCTAACTTTGTATCCTGGTTCAGCCAGGTTCCTGTCACAACTATACAGTCGAAGCCTCTGGACTCAACCTTGAGTTCTCCCCATTTGTTCCCAACGCTGCAGGCATTGATGTACAACAGTTACAGTCCCTCGTTCGCCTTTGGCCTCTCTGTCTGTTTAACGTGGCCGACCTTGCACTCGGGTGCTACACTCGAGTTCCTTCGTTTTTTGTTACATTTGCCCTCAACACGGGTTGATGTGGTTCTCCTCAGGACGGGGTTAACTATTTCTGCCAGGCTGCGTCTGGCTACACTTGCATATGTCTCGCCAAGACTACCAGCACTGGGTGGCATGAATGTAGAGTCTATTCGATTGACACTGACTCTTGGTGATCCAACGGTTTGTGTCGACCTCAACTGTGTCTCGCTACTAATATTCAGACGTTCTCTCTGTCCTGTGGCAAGGAAATCCAGCTCTACCGAGATTCTGTCTGCCATTGCCGTTTTCACTGCTCCAGTGGCTGCCGGGATTTCGTCCCATGTCTAGGGTTCCCGAACTCCACTGGAACCGGCCTGGCAGCCCCTTGGGCACCGCCTGGCTTACCGGTCCACCTACCTAACCTGAACACTCTCTTCAAGAGAACGTGCCCTGGTACGCCTGTCATTCTCAAGCGGGTAATGACGCTATGCCTTAGGTCTCGTTCCCTTCGGCGTCCGACTACTCAGAAGGAATCTGCGATGCCTTTTACGACAACATTCCTGTGTCTGCCGAGGGCAGTTTCACTACTGGCCTCCAGTCTAAGCATGTTCTCGGTTAACTGGCTCAACTCGTTCTGTAGCTTCACGAGCTTCCCTTCCTGCTTCTTTGCTTGAGCTACCAAAACTTCAATATCCGTCTGAAGCTTATTCGAAGCTTCTCTACTATGTGATACCTCTTTATCAGCTGCAATGTAATCCCTGCGTCGTATCACTGTAGCGTTTCTCGCGGCCGACTTCAACGACTCAGAGGCTTTCCACTGGGTCCCCTCCAATAATGTGGTCTCTCTACAAATCCTAACACAGGCAGCACATACTCACTTCAGGAATTTATGCTCAGTATAGGGCTCGAACGCTCTTTTAGGTAGGGCACTACACTTTTGGTGGTACCATCTGCTGTAAACATCGCAACAAATGCCGTCGAGCACCTCCTTATCGCAACCTTGGATCCCACATGGAAACTGTTTCGGTCTAGGAGTACGTTTGTTTACCATCCCTCTTGTTTTGATGTTGTTAACAACCTTTTGGCTAATGCTATGAGGTGAGAATAGCTACGTTGCGGGCAAACTATGCAACCTAGTAATCCTTCGGTAATTAAATCTATAACAGAATAATATCCTACGAAAACAATACTAATATAACAGAAGAACTAACATGAACACTAATTTGAACACAACAAAGACAAAGTCATCAACCACGGAAGAATTTCGCACCGCAGTTCAGTTCAGTTCAGTTCTCGCAGGACGAATTGTGGCTAGTGTCAATCGCACGTCCAGTTCTTTGTGTTGTCAGCGGTTTCGTTGGCTTTTAACACTGAGTAAATAGCGGTTTCGGAAAGGCGGAATGTTAGTGTGCAGTTTCAGATTCCTTACAATGTTTCGGAAAGTAAAGCCTAACGATTTGCTTTCAACAATCAACTTCAGGAAATACCACTTCCCAGTATTCATCTAGCCTTTTCTTGAAAATTCCGACAATAATACAGGTAACCACTGTTTCAGGTAATTTATTCCACAGTGGTATAACTCTGTTTGTAAGGAACCTAGCTCGCAGATTCGGTCTACAATGACTTCTTTACAATCTAATTTAATGCCTCCTTGTGCCCCTGACAGGAAAAAACGAGAATACGTTTTAAAACATTAGACCCGAAAGCTCTTTGATAATCTTAAATGTACCTAAACGGTAGCCCTGCATGAGTCTGCGGGCCAGTGGGAAAAGTCCAGGTCCCTCAGTCATTGGAGGTATCCCTTACTTTTCTGGCCTGCTACCATTCTAGTTGCTAAGCGCTGTACTTTCTCAAGACACCGTTCGTTCTGTTTAAAATGAGGCGTCCATGCCTG